ATTTCGTCGACCAATCCCTCCCAATTCACATCTTTGTTGAAAGAATTTTTTTTGTAAATCCTTAGATAAGGATTCAGAAAATACCGGATCTCCCTCTACACAAGCAAATTGTTGATAAAACTCCAAAATAGCATTTTCTTTTGACCCTATTTGTTTTTTATCATTCAGAAAAGACAAAAATAGTTCAGGATAGCAAACATTCTCTAGAATTTCTCTTATATTCAACCCCATAGCTGATAATAGAACTAGAATAGATAGTTTTTGTTGCCTACTCACGCGAACCCATATCCTTGTTTTTCTATCAATCTCTAATTCTAATCTTCCTCCCCAATCTGATATTATGGTGCCGGTATAGACGGAAATTCCATTATCGTTCAATTCTGACTGGTAATAAATACCGGGACTTTGCAATATTTGATTGATCACAATTCTATATATTCCATTTACTATAAAAGCTCCCAGAGAAGTCATTAGAGGGATCTTTCCTATCAAAATTGTTTGTTCTTGGATATACCTACGCCTATCGTTTTTCCAAATTAGTCTCGCAGATACATATAATTCAGAAGAATATGTGAGTGATTCATACACAGCATCTCTTTCCTTTATCGAGGGTTCTACCAATTGATATCTTTCCAAAAATAATTCAAAGTCAATTTCTTGATTTGTATCTTCAATTTTTGGAAACTTAGAAAGTTCTTCTGTCAAACCCTGATCAATGAACCTACAAAATCCTTCAAATTGTATCTGATTAAATCCAGGTATTGTGGACATTGCGTCTATCCCGGATTATTTTGAAATTGTCAGTTATTTATATTCATCCATCTCGAATTCTCCAAAAACAAAAAAAAAAAAAGAAATACCATTTTGGCTGGCTCATTATCCATCAAATCCTATAGCAATGATGGAATTTCGATTCCATGAATCTTTGACTGGAATCTATGAGATAGGTGGAATTCAAATTTATACTTAATTTCAATTTAATTTAAATTGTCATTTTTAAGAGATGCAAATGGAACGGAATTGAGAAAACAGTCCTAGAAACAGAATTCTCCTGCTTAGTCTTACTATGCTTTGGGATTTTTTTTATAATATAAAAACTGCGTCAGTTTCTTATATTATAATGTAAAACGGTATTGATATTCTAATCTACTTGAATATTTAATACCATAAAACTAAAGGAATGTTGTATTGATGAACCCAGCGGATATACCTAATGTCTTTTCTCTTCTTTTATTTTTTATTGCCCTCCTGTCGTCAATTGACAGTTGACAGTATTATTTATATATATATATAATTTGATATGACTTTGATATGATTTAGGGCTCAATAAAATTCCCAAATCAGACTTTGGTAAATCATTTTTTTTTGCATCTCCTGCTCTGCTGATTCAGAGGTACCGTATCTTGGATCCAATGCAAAACTCTTTCTGAATGAGAGAGATAAAGACGAGAAAAACCAATGAAATAAAGTTGAAAGATTGTATAGTTTAATGGTAAAGTTTGATTACCATTAACCCCCAGAAAAGTTAACGAGTTTTTCGGTTTGATTCATATCCTATTCATCTTCTAAAGGTGTCCCTCGGCTGATTTATATTAAGTTAAGGTGGCCTTAGGCCTTATTCCCTATTGTATTTGTATTGTGTAGTGCTTTTTGATTTCCTAAAGGTGGCCATAGGCCCCTATGGTCCATTGGTGCCCCTATGGTCCAGTGGTTACGACCTCTCTCTTTCACGGAGAAAACGAGGGTTCAAGTCCCTCTAGGGGTATACCAAGACCATAGGAGTAGGATTTTATCAAAAGTGAAATGTATTTGTCAAGTCCGCCTGGTAGACGAAAGGAAGTTGATTATGGAACGTCTAATTAGGCGTTGGGTCGATGCCCGAGTGGTTAATGGGGACGGACTGTAAATTCGTTGACAATATGTCTACGCTGGTTCAAATCCAGCTCGGCCCAAAAATTCGCCAATATACTATCAAATGGTAGAACCCTCTTGTTCTTAAGAAATACCTGATAAGAGAGAATAAAAAAGAAGCCAAATTTTCTGTTAGATCTCTTCTTATTTCCCTGGGATTGTAGTTCAATAGGCAAGAGCACCGCCCTGTCAAGGCGGACGTTGCGGGTTCGAGCCCCGTCAGTCCCGACGGATCCAATAAGTACATCAATTCACCTCTCCATTTTATGTGAAATGTTTATGTGAAATGAAAGAAGGGACAGAGATCATAATTTAATTCCGAAGGGGTTTCCCCTCTTTTTTTCAGGATTCTGTCGAAGAAAGAACAAACACTAAAATAAAATGAAAATAACTAAAACAGTGAAGTTGATAGAATATTCCATCTTTTCTCCCGCGACTCCTCTTTCTCATACTTCTTTGTCTTCCAAATAAAATTGGATCATTCAAATTTACAACCTAATTCCTCTCTTTTTCCACTTCGCTTGTATTTTTTGTTGGCGTTTTGTAGTTAATGGAAACGGACGAGGATACTTCATTTGATGGTTCTATACGGAAGACCTAGGGTAGGTTATAGAAAAGAAAGAAAAGAAAAGAAGGATAAATAAAGGAATTTTTGATTGGTCCGGGAATCCAATCTTGGATTCGGTATGGATAAAAGATCTTCGTATGTTATACTATTCAATTCTCGACGACGAATTAATTTAATAGCTCAGATATTGTTATTCATGATATTGATCCGATTCAAGATCATCGATAGGTAATGCATTCATTGAATTGACAGGTGAAAGATTTATCATCTCTATGGGATTAAATCCCGAGTTATTGTGAAATAAAAAAAAAACGATGAGATTGAGATTATGGAAGTAAATATTCTTGCATTTATTGCTACTGCACTGTTCATTTTAGTTCCTACTGCTTTTCTACTTATCATTTACGTAAAAACAGTCAGTCAAAATAATTAATTACTTGAAATGAAACTTGACTTCTGAGTTCTTATCAATAGTTGAAGAAATCAAATCAAAATATTTTTTTGCGTTTTAAATGAAATCAACGGGCTATAATGAGCGGTATTCTATGAGATCCGAGAGTATGGTAAGAAATTTCTTACCATACTCTCTATTAGTGTTATAGTAGTGTATAAAGTTGTACTTTACTTTCTAATAAAGTTGGTATACTATATTAGCTTCTATCTTCAATATATGTAGTGATTAATCCATATATGGAATTAACGTAGGACCCAATTCTCTTTCTTTCTGAAATAATTGTTTTGCTGTTATATAATACATTTCTCCACTAGAATCCAATGGAATTTCGAAATGAATAAATTTTGATTTGAAAATTATTTCAATTCAAATAAAAAAAAAAAATGCGTTGCAGAACGATCTATAAAACAATTGATACCATTTCATTCCTAAACTAAATTAGTAGTCCTTCTAAAGTCCACTTCTTCCCCATACTACGAGTGAAAGGGAAAATGTAAAGACTACCATTAAAGCAGCCCAAGCGAGACTTACTATATCCATGTCAATTATGTCCCTTATCTTTATGCTAGAAATATTCCATTATTGTATTGCTCACTAATAATAGTAGAATCCATGGTCCAGAGTCAAAAAGGGATTCTGGCCGAACACTATTGATGAACCAATCAAATAAATCCATTTCTAAAAAATTCCTATATGATTTCTAACCGGGAAAGACTAAACACAACTAAAATACACAATGACGCTACAAAGGAATGTTACTAATGGAACATATAGTAATAAAAAAACAGGGCCCATTCTTTGTTGCCCTTCAAAGTACAAATAGATCAATTGCTATCTATTACATACTTTTATTTCCTATTTGATCTAATCCGTACCCTTTCCTTTCCCGATTGTCTCTCTGAAGCAGTTGGGAGATAGTATATTATACTCTTGACGAGGGGTTTCAAAAAAAATAATAATTTTTTTTCACTTTTTCTATAAAAAAGTAAATTATCCATCCAATCTCAATCTAATAGTGATTGAATGCCTGAACACTCAGAGATTCTCGCGAGTCTATATATGTAGATTACATAAAGGACTTTCCACAACTAGTTAGCCGCCGGCGGCTATGCCAATGAAATTCAAGACCCAATCAGTAGACATTAGCAGTAGAAGGGAATCGGGAAGTCTTGCTTCGACCATTATAATATAATCTTTATTTGAATTTTAGATTGAAAGATTTCCAATCTTTTACAAAATCCCCAGAACAGATGTTTAGAATCAACCAAGTATCAACAATCGCCTTATCTGTTGGGTAAAATTTGGGTGATTTATATCAGCAGATAATAAATTTTGATTCGTTTGTTGATGAGGCGGCACCCGGATTTGAACTGGGGAAAAAGGATTTGCAGTCCCCCGCCTTACCACTCGGCCATGCCGCCAAAACGATACACAATAAGATAAAATTTTATGGGTTGGATTACTAAACTTTAGTTTATTGTACTTGCATCCCTTTTTTAATTTCATCCTTTTTTTCTAAATTTATAAAAATTCTAAAAGAAACCCTTTTCCCCTTTTGTTTGACCACCCCTTCGATTGATTGTATAGTATCTCAAAACATAAAATGTCGAAAAACTTCCCCTCACTTTTCTATTGAAAAATCAAATGTATATTTTCATTCAAAAAAGCCAAAATTTATGACACAAAATTTATGACAAATGGGAACCATTAACTATTCGTTGACTGAGAATTCCTGAATGATTCTTGGATTTGAATCTAAAATTGGGGTTGCCTAATGACATAAGAAACTACAAAACATACTTAATTGATTCTTAATCCTTTCAATTTCCATTATAACAAAAACGATAAGTATATGTAAACCCCACAATGGAAATTCTTACACAGATACCAAATTGGGTATCTTTTTTAGAGTATGTTTCCTATACCTATAAATATATGGAATTCGTTGGAACAAAAAAAGGCCCGGCTGGGTATTGACCGGGCCAGGCCCAAAAGGCACTTCGAACAAAATAAAAGCAAGAAGGTCTTCTTTATTTATCTTTCTATTTGGATCTTTCGAGCATCTAA